GTCCTATTGTGACAATCATAGAGGAATCAGTTTGACTAATATAGTGTCTAAAATATTAGCTTCAATAATACTTCGACGACTAACCAAAGCTCGTGAAGAACAGACTAGAGAAAACCAGGCTGGTTTTCGACCTGGACGTGGTTGTATAGACCAAATATTCACACTACGTCAGGTTCTAGAACACAGACACACATTCAGACGCCCCACAATGGTAGTATTTCTCGATCTTAAGGCGGCATTCGACTCTGTTGACCGTGAGGTTCTATGGCAGTGTTTGTCACTGAAAGGAGTACCAAAGAAGTATATTAACCTTGTAAAGGCTCTCTACTCGAACACAACTGGTAGAGTGAGAGCTTATGGCGAACTGTCATCAGAATTGATTACATCAAGTGGTGTTCGTCAGGGCTGTCCACTCTCCCCATTCTTGTTCAACTTTGTGGTCGACGTACTTTTAGAGATAACACTCTCCTCATTTAAATTTCCAGGGGTTGAACTTCTACCGGGAGGTTCACTTGTTGACTTAGAATATGCAGATGACATAGTTTTATTTGGTGAAGACGCTGACAAAATGCAGAGTCTTCTGACCACTCTAAGCAACAATGCAAGCATGTTCGGGATGCGATTCTCTCCCTCGAAATGCAAAATGTTGCTTCAGGATCGGGCTGCATCGACGCCTGAACTAATGATAGGGAGTGAAGTAGTTGAGCGTGTCGAACGCTTCACTTATCTTGGGAGTCTCGTCAGTCCTTGTGGTCTGGTGTGTGACGAAATCTCAGCACGGATACAGAAGGCTCGACTAGCTTTCGCCAACTTGTGTCATTTATGGCATAGGCGAGATATCCGTCTATCAACCAAAGGACGTGTTTACTGTGGCGCAGTTCGTTCTGTCCTACTTTATGGCAGTGAAACATGGCCGATAAGAGTAGAAGATATTCCTAGGTTACTAGTATTTGATCATAGGTGTCTTCGAAATATTGCTCGTATATCCTGGGACCATCGAGTAAGTAACGCAGTTGTTAGGAAACGGGTACTAGGTAAGGATGGCAAATCAATTGATGAAGTGGTGAAACTTCATCAGTTGAGATGGCTGGGACACGTGTTACATATGCCCAACCACCGACTGCCTCGACGTGCGATGTTCAGTGGTATAGGAGTAGGCTGGAAGAAAGCTAGGGGCGGCCAGACCAAAACATGGCACAAGTCCATGAAGTCACTGACAAGTGGTCTGAGTCATGTTGGTAGGTGTAGACTACCTAGTTGGGAACCGCGAGATGATAGCAACCGATGGTTAGACACCTTGAATGACATGGCTCAAAATCGTTTGCAATGGCGCAGGTGCATCCACTCTTTGTGTTCTCCCAAATTTTGATCTCCTGATTCCCCCTTGTCTCTTTTTTCTCTTCCAAAGTTTATTTCACTGTATTATACTCTTTAAGTAACATCTACAAACACTAATCTTTCCGATTACTGCTTATACCCTTATTACCTCTACCACTACGGGATTTGAATCGACCACGGCATCTCTCTGCTAATGTGGTGTGGCAACTCGAACTAATGTACATACGTACGAAGTTCTACGTTGTTACTGACTGATTGGCTGACGGTTATTTGTTTTATTTATCGTTCTGTGCGTTAATGCTTATAACATGACCCATTTTTTGTCACTAACGTTATCTTGGGTGTTCAAATACATGAAACTTTTGTCTAATGAATTATGTGTAATGGGACGTATTTATTTTATAATATTATGTATATTTACTTTTGACTACATAAGGGAACATCGAATATGCCATAACTTGTAACTTGCTTGGCAAGCAGCTTTCACATAGATGAATTGATATTTTTGCAGCTGTTTTTCTTTAGCTATTTGCGTCCAAAATGTCTGGTGTCAAAAATGTTTGGTACATATCCCGTAATGTCACAAACATTTGGTTGAACACAACTAATCCGAAGACGTCGAAGTATTGCTGTTAGTCCGTTTCGGTCAATATGAGTTGGTTGATTAGTTTCCACTGTTTCTTCCGCTAATATTAATTTATATTAATTGTTGCTGTGGTTGTTAGAAGGGGAAACAGCCTCGTGATTAACAAAGAACTCTGACTTCTACCATGAGTCGTCATAATTCTTCCAAATGAAGATCCTTCAACTTCCAGGGAACAGTTTGAGTGTTTTTATCTGGTTGGCGTTTTTTAGCAAGGTCGGTTTCTACGAGAGGAGGCTACTGACCCCATACCCTAACATTTCTTATCCGTACTTGCGATCGCAAGTAGTCCTAGAAAGGCTACAGGAAGAATTTTTTCTCTCTTACTATACAATTTGTGGCATCCAGTAAATGGAATTTGATCTGATGTATAAATGTATCAGTCTAGGTTAACAAAAAGGTAAACAATAAAACTTCAAAAAGCACTAGTAAAGTTTGACTAGGTAAAAAAGAGGGTAAATTAACAGTTGTTGTAATTACTCAGTAACCTCTGAAAAGTTCATATTTGCTGTCACTCACTCCTAATCTGTAGTTGAAACTAATATAGACAACAATAAAGCCGGAGAGTCAAGAATTACTTTTACTGGCGCATTTCAAATTACCTCAGTTTCCTACTTACTACTTTGCGGCATCTTTACTATTCAAAAGTCTGTCATACTCCCCAATCGTTTTGCCATTTAATGTCAGTTTCATGACCAGTTATTAGTCGGCTATATCGTATCACTGTACATTACCTATTGTTTAGTGTGATATCCATTATTTTACTAACCCATACTTCGTATCACATACTATGAAACTGGGACTTTTATAAATAAGGCTATAACTTAGCAGTTGGAACGTTCAAGTTTCAGCTGTTATGTTATTGCTTAAAACTGCTTTTTACCTATCTCTAATATTTGAATAACTCATAAGTACGACTTAATCTCGATTGTAGGAACCTGTAATTGATGATTAAGTATCACTATATTATAACCTTAAAGAAAGTTTAAAATGTCACTCATTGTGTCAGTCAGACATATTAACAACATACTAATCAGACTGTTAGTGATTTCGTTGTCTTTTCATTTTCTATTTGTAAACGTAATAATCGAAAGAAATATAGATATCTATATTTCTATATAAATTTCAACTTTCTTTTAATTCATATTAGTGAGGAACTTCTTTAACTGAAAGAATTCTTTCTGGTTACATTTTTGCTTACTGAACTGCTTCCCCCATAACAATACTCATAATAATAATAATAATAATTATTATTATTGTTTCACTATCATACACTAATTTATGTCATTTGTTGTTCTTTTATTACACGAGTTTTACATTCTCTAACTCTTCACAACCCCACTATTATTATGTGGTGCATATGTATTTGTTGCCCCTTTGTATCAATGTTTATGTGATCAAATAAACAATAATAATAAATAAATAACATAAATTGTGATTTTTTCCACTTTTCCTAGTGCTAGTGCAGAAGGTTTACTTAGCGAGTTACCTGCAACTGAAGCGAATACATCTTTATCAATTGCCGAAATATTATTCAAGACAACTGATAAAAATAAACTTTCGCTTAATTTATCAGATGATTCAACTGAATTATCTAAAGAAATGAATCATAGTTGTGAACAACAATCTTATAGATATCCATTAAATGGTTTTTGTTGTTCGCAGCATAAAAAGGTATCTTGTTAAACTATTTAAAATTTTATCCCCTCTTCATCTGTTAATCTACTTTGATTATTATATAATGAAAATTAACTGGAAATAAACATGAGAATATCACCTTGTGTTTATTTGTTGTTAATTTAACTTTGAGTGGAATCCAGTAGAATGTATTCATAAGGTATATATGAAATGTTATAGGACTTTAAGACATTTCTAAAGAAGATAATTGTTAGCACCAATTGTCAGTTAGTTTTTTTTGGTGACGTAATTTCATTTCTGAAAAGCCAGTATTCATGGTTATGAATCTTTAATTATGGATATAAACGTCAACGTTGACAAAAAAATTTTGTTATATAGAATATTCTGTTGCTATTGTTAAGATGAATAATTTTACTCATATAATTATCGAAAATAACCAAGTATATTTTTTTAAAACACATGGATTGATAATGAAAGTGCTTATATGCAGGTCCAGTGACACATTTATATTTGCCTAAATGAAATAAAATAACAATCTCTATTTCCTTTTTTAAAATTTGTATTACTCCTTATTTTGCATGAAAAAAGACTTTTAATCATATTTTTGATTTTCAGAAATTCATGTCTGAAGCTTCCAATCTGAACTCAATTCCTGCTATTTCTCACGGGTAAGCGTATGTTATGCTCAAAGCCGCCAATCAGAAGCAGCGAATTATCGATCGGAACAAGGACGCGTAAAACGCGTGCGAGCAGCCTAGAGTACTGATTGGTCCTGCTTTCTGTCTAGCCCAGCCAGTTAAGCTCAGAACGCCAATCTCAGCCTCTGCAATATGAATCTTTATAGTTTCAAACATACTGAGTTTTATTTACCAATCAAACAGACCACAACGTAGCATAAAATAGAAAATAACATTTGTAAAAAATTTGGCCAAATGTGGCTGTGAATGTGGGAGGCAGTGACTAATAGACAGGGCATAATTCAAGAATGGTAAAACATATAATGATGGTTCATAGGTCAAAATAAGGTTTATAATACGAGAAATATGAATATGAATAGTTTAGTTATTTAACAATCATATGATAAAAATGTACGTTTAGTATTGGTCCATAAAAGGATCCCAAAGTTACCATTCGTTATTTTTCTTGGGACCTAACAGCGTAAAACATACTCTTAATAAGTTTGTTGCATACTACTGGTTCATATCAGTAAGAAATGTGCAGTTACGTTCATCTAGTGTTGAAAGCTCCCGCTGACTGAGAAACATAAGACAGCTCCGATATTATAAACTACAAAAACTTGGTCTGTAATATTTGTTACCGTGTTCATCAGCTGAAGTGGTTGGGACATGTTACACATTCCTAACTACTGTCCACCTCTACGACCCACGTTTTCGAGTGTAGGAGTAGTTTAAAAGGAAGCTACTGTCGGCTAAAACAAAACATGGGATCAGTCCGTGAAGTGACTGATAATTGGACTTAGCAATGTCCACTTGACTATCATAATTAATGGTTGTGGACTATGAATGACATGAGTGGAAATTGTTTGGAATGACGCAGGTGTATTTGTTCTTTGTCCTCCTCCATATTCTGCGATTCCTGATTGGTTACAACTTCTTTTGTTTTTATATCACTAATTTATATTTTCCTCTCGAATGGTATTTTCAATATGTAACCTTTTGTAGTACCATTAAAACTGTTACTGCCTTAAATAGTTTGAAATTTGGCTTTACAATTTCATATATATGCTAATGGTATATGGTGACTTGAACAGATGTGCAAATGTAGCATGTTCTACTTTGTAGTTGACTGATCAAAGACTGTCATTGTGTCGAAAGCTTGTCTCAGGAGGAGGGCGAACATAGTTTCATCTCAGAACAATGGAATACTGGGTATCGCATTGTTATTGTTGGACTGTTGAACAAAATCTTTCTGTTTTTTATAAATGTTAACTCGCGAATATGTTAGTCAAAAATCAAATTTATCGAACACCTTAATATAAATCCTACCGTCTTGCAAGAATTATAAGTATTCTTCACTGGTTGCGAAAGGTTCACACGTATTGTCAATTAAGTTTTATAGGGCTGTAATATACAAGAAAAGATTCCGGTCTTATTATTTCTTAACTTTACAATCTGTTATCTAGTGTCCATTTACACCATAAAATTCATTTTTTCAGTTCATCTAGATAATGAAAATTTACTGTTTTTCCCCTTGAACTAATCACTTTAAACTTATATTAGTATTTCAATATTGTTCATTTATACTAGCACTGACGTTAACAAAGGATGTAAGTCCCCTACGACTGAATTGTCTTGTGAAGTGAATAACCAACCTCCTAGACGCCGATCTTCTCAGCTGCGTCTTTCTCAGCGACCATATACTTCAGACCCAAACAGAACAGATGAGATTATTAACACTCAAGACGATTTAAAGAGTGATGGAAGGACTACGTCGGAATGCAAAAGTGAATTTAATCATCAAAGCTCTTCCACAGTACAGAAAGATCAAATTTATAGTGAAACTCGCTCTCCTGGATCTACAACAACCGACTGCCCAAATGTTAAACGGATCAAAATAGATGTAAACTTAAGTAAAGACAAAATTGGTGAAGTTATTGATACAGAACGAGTTCTTAGTAAGTTCTTAGTTGTGCTAAAATGCAGTCATAAAGGATTGTAACCCGTGTATATAGATCGTAATAATATTGTCCATATCTTATTATCTTGGTGGTAAGTAGTCTCAAATAGTATGAAACTCGCATCCCGGATTCTACTACTAATCAAATCTATTCAACCTCTTATTTACTTATTCAAGCACATAAACATTAGTACAAAGGGACATTAGAATATACATATGCGCCACACAATGACAACGGGATTATGAAGAGATAAAGAATGTAAAATGTGCTTAATAAAAAGAACAATAATGAACAGAAATTAGTGTATGCGAGTGAAATAATAATGGGAGGCGTTCAGTTAAAAAAATACAACCAAAATGGAATCTTTCAGTTAAAGAAGTTCCTCTCACTACTATGAAGAAAGTAAGTGAAAGTTACAACAAAGCCGCCACTGGCTTCTATTCTGAGCCATGTGCGATGACGTCTCAAGCCATTATGTTGAACTGTCTCTAGGACATCAACCAGGGAGTCGTGAAGAGTTGACAGATTCTAGTCCAGTAAAACTTTTATACCATGAAACCATTTGATACACTTACAACCTCTTCACTTTATCCAACCCACGCCAGCGTCGACAAATAATGCACGATATCGTCTCTCATGCCTGGTCAGTATGCACTTTGTTGTAGTAAATCCGTCGTTCTTGCGATGCCTGTATGTGCTACCTGGTGACACTCATGTATCATATTACGCTACCAGTCTTTCGGAATCACAGCCACCCAATTCTCGTCATCGTCCTGCCAGGTCAGGACTCCATATGCGTTCACTTTCAGTCGTTATATACTACTTATGTCAATATAAGTAGTACGCACCACACTACTACAACATCTACTACCACCACTTTAGTATCCATTTCTGTGCTGCTGTGGTGTTGCGAATGAGGCCGATTCACATTTGTGCCAGATCCTATGTTGCTTATGATTCGCTGGTTGATGAGCCATGCACAACCAGGTGTGTATAGGTCTCACAGCCTTAGTGTTGAATTACATTCAGAAGGTATTGTATACCTGATATAAAAATTAGCGACATATTTTGTCTATAACTTTATACATACCAAATTTTTCACTTTTAAGAGTTTCCCATTTAATCGGAAAACTTGAAGTAAAACTTATGAAATAAAGTTTTATCTAATTTTTGTCTCGATAATCCAATGAGAAGTTTATCAGAATTATGTGATATATTTGCGCAATACATTTCAAACAATCTGATCACACATATACTTGTTAAGACATTTTTATATGGAAATTAAAAGGTCAACTAGACATGTTAAAGGTAAGCCGTAATAAAAAAGAACTAATATTAAAGTACACAAAAATGTGATTACCACTCTGGATAATAAATCAGTATTACCAGGATAGGTTAAGTGTAAGAACAAATTGTTTTTGAACGCATAAAGGGGGTTTCAGTTTCCGTATAGACAAGGCTTCAATAAACTTTAGATACATCTTTGAAGGTTTTTGTATAACACTACAAATATTGACTTGAAGTCAACCTTATGACCAGTCTCATTCAAATGTTTCGCAATGGAGGATGATCTCTGTCTATCCTGTGATCTTATTTGACCATATAAAAATGTCTTAAAAAGTATATGTGTGATCAGATTGTTCAAAATGTATTGCGCAAATATATCACATAATTCTGATAAACTTCGTCTTCTCATTGCATTTATCAAAACGACTAATTGTTTTAATTTTTGTCTGTTAATTTAATTAACTGTTGGTGTACATAGTACTATGAAAGTTTTGAATATTACCTTGCTTTCATTAGAACAAATCATTCCATTTACACAAAATAGTTTAATTTTAATTTCCCTTGATCGCCATGATTATACAGCATCTCCGTCATCATCAGCAACAACAAACAATCAATCGGCTGTGACTAGTACAATTACATCATCCCAAAGTTCCGTTACTGATTCCACTATCCCTGTAACTTCTCAGGAAAATTTACCTCTAATACTACCGCGTCGACCTTTATCATTACGGGGTTTAGGCATTTCTTGTAATTCGAAGAATAGTTCAGTTTTAAATAATATAGCTGGAATGTATGTTGACTCACCATTGGCGCCTACAAATAAAGTCTCAATCTCAGCAAAATCCGATAATTCATTTCCACCTACATTAGCTACAATGCATGATTTGTTAGAATGGCAATGGGATCAAGCTGGAGCTTTACTAATGCAACAGGCAAAAAATACAGATGGTATGTGTTATCAATTGATTATTGTAATATTTTCGCAGAAATTTCCTCTTTTCTACAGTATGTATATTTATACATACCAAAATGAATGACTGCTTTATTTCAGCAGTCAATTTCACACAATTTGTTTGATTTTTTCAGAGAACTTATCAAGTATCTTTAAATAGTGAATGCACTGTATACATTTTAAAATAATTTTAGTGTTGATAAAATTGATACAGTTGTAATATGAATAAGTACTTTATGATGTGGTCCGAAGCTAAAATCAAGCAGTGGTGAAACGAAATTGTACTACTGTTTTGGGTTTTGACACCTTTCATGCATAGTATTCCTAACTATTAAAGAAATCTAAAGGATTCCTATGATTAAATTTATGTCGTCATTCATAAGATGTTCATCTCATAGGTTTTTCAAAATCAAATTTTTGTCAGAAAATGATAATATTTTATTCTTTACAAAGTGAGAAATTAAAGTCCTATTCACATCTACTGGCCAATTATTAAATAGTTTTAGGTATGGATTTTACCTGATCGGGTTCTCTCACTTCAAGTGCGGAATGTCACTTCAGGATTGGCTTGCATCAGAACCCGAATTAATGGTAGGAAGTAAAGTATTTGAACGCATCTACCGCTCCACTTATCTTGAGAGTCTCATCAATACCGATGGTGTGGTGTCTGGGGAAATCTCGTCACGGATTCATAAGGCTCGATTGATTATCACTAAGATGCGTCACTTTCAGTGTAGGTGAGATATCTGTCTTTGAAGCAAAGAGGGAGTTCATTGCGCACTAGTTTTCTCCGTTCCACCTTATGGATATGAAACATGGTCATTAGGAATGGGGGATATTCGTAGTTTATTGGTATTGGACCATAGGTGTCATCGAAGCATGGTATTCACTGACCTTACATTACAACACCACTTATTTTCGAACTGATAACATCAGTCCTGTAACAATTGTTGAAGTAATTCGATAGTAGTGTTTCCCTGATCTTTCACCTTCGAAATCTGATGTATAACAATCCATTCGTGATATTTTATAGCAGCTTAGAAAAAAGGAAATTGACATCAAGATGATAAGCAGGCGGGCGTGAAGGATAATCTTAATAGGGAATGAAAACTAAGCATAAGACGAGTGGTTTGAACCAATCAGGTTTTCTAAAATCAGTATAGCAAAGTGTCGGTTGAATCGATTTTGATAACAACATAAAGATTTTATATTTACTTGGTTTTGTTCTCTTGAATATTCCCATTGATGTTTAGAACTGCAATTGATCAGTCTTTTATTGTTATATATGGGTATTGCTTAGATATTACCTTAATTTACAAGCATTATAAGCATTATCGAGGCAAACACACAGTATACATAAATGCCAATAAGAAACTGATCAAATGCAGTTCTAAACATCCATGGGAAGATTCAAGTAAACAATACTAAATGAATTTAAACTTCGCAGCATTGTACAAATAAGTGGCTATCAGGACTCAGTTAGGCGGATAACACGATGAAGTATGAAATGTCATGTACGGGGTTCGAGTCCCAGAGTGAACAACTCTGAGATGCAGGTACTTTCAGCTGACATGTCTTAAATGGGACGAAACGCGCGCCCTGGATTCCACTGTTAGCCACTATCCTTCTTTGTTTATAAAGATATTATGTTGCAAAACCGATGCGCTAATTATTTTTAAGTGTTTAGCTGTTTACATAGTTTTATTCAAAAAACATGTTTTATGACAATCAATTAAATGGAATCTTGGGAAATGATATAATTAGTTTCTATTTCTTTCCTGTAATTTTGTAATTGAGGTACTTCAGTAACAGTATAGTGTAGGGACGGTTTAAAAAGCGGAGACTAATTTTCAGCTAGTTTTTGGCCAATCAGAAAACAGATTTTGTAGATAGATACCCCATAGATAAGGAAATAATAATACTGTTAACTGAACTGATATCACTTTATTGATCAATGTGTTAAAGTCTTCTACAGGTTTCTCTGCCTTTAAATCATTAAAGCAACGACATGAATTCGTCATTATGAATCTGGACCGACCGTCTTTTCAAACGAACTCTTTAAAGGACCTAAATGGATTTTTCAGAGTTCCTTGTTTTAATTTGATATTTAGGGTAAGCATAAGGGTCTAAGGTTAGAGGTTTTTATCACGAACTGATATCAGCTATAATGCGAAGATGCTCTGTGGCCTTGTGGATGAATGAATTTCATGCAACTCCGTCCTAAACAATCCTTCCCAGTTGCTATTCATCCTTTTGATGTCTGCTTCCGATTTCAGACTCAATATATCCCGCGGTCTTCCTCTTTTCCGTTTCCCTTCAGGATTCCGAGTTAAGGTTTGTAACCTGATGCAGTTTGGTATTTCCTACCCATCTTCAGCATCTGTTCCTAATTTCTTCTCCAGATGGATGTTGGCTTGTTCTCTCCCACAGTAGTAGGTTGTGACTGATAGTATCCGGTCAACCAACATTGAGTATCTTGCGTAGACAATTGTTTAGAAATACTTGTACTAGTTTGATGATGGTTGTAGTAGTTCTTTAAGTTTCAGCTCCGTACAGTAGAACTGTCTTGACGTTCGTATTGAAGATTTTGAGTTTGATGTTGGTTTACAGACAGTTGTTTTAAGTTCCATGTGTTCTTCAAATGTAGGAATGCTCCTTGTGTTCTGCCAATCTTTGCCTTTCCGTCTGCATCAGATCCTTCTTGTTCATCGATGATGCTTCATAGGTACAGAAAAGCTTCCACCTCATCCACAGTTTCTTCATCAGGTGCGATTGAGTCGGTGTTCTCCATGTTCTGTTTCAGGATCTTTTTTCCTTGTATGCGTTGAGGCCTACTGATGTAGAGCCAGCTGCTACATTGGTCTTTATCTACGTTTGTTGGTGTGTATGAGATGGAGAAGCTAGGTCATCTGCGAGGTTTAAATCGACTAGTTGCACACAAGCTGTCCATTGTATTCCACTCTCTCCATTCTTTAACTTTGTCGTTGACGTGCTTTTAGAAATATCACTTTACTCATCTAGATTTCCAGTTGAACTTCTACCAGGAGATTCCTTTACTGACTTAGAATATACCGATGACGTAGTTCTATTTAGTGAAGGCGCTGACAAAATGCAGAGTCTTCTGACCACTTTAAGCAACAATGCAAGCATGTTCGGCATGCGATTCTCTCCCTCGAAATGCAAAATGTTGCTTCAGGATTGGGCTGCATCGACACCTGAACTAATTATAGGGAGTGAAGTAGTTGAGCGTGTCGAACGCTTCACTTATCTTGGGAGTCTCGTCAGTCCTTGTGGTCTGGTGTGTGACGAAATCTCAGCACGGATACAGAAGGCTCGACTAGCTTTCGCCAACTTGTGTCATTTATGGCATAGGAGAGATATCCGTCTATCAACCAAAGGACGTGTTTACTGTGAAGCAGTTCGTTCTGTCCTACTTTATGGCAGTGAAACATGGCCGGTAAGAGTAGAAGATATCCCTAGGTTACTAGTATTTGATCATAGGTGTCTTCGAAATATTGCTCGTATATCCTGGGACCATCGAGTAAGTAACGCAGTTGTAGTGAAACTTCATCAGTTGAGATGGCTGGGACACGCGTTACATATGCCCAACCACCGACTGCCTCGACGTGCGATGTTCAGTGGTATAGGAGTAGGCTGGAAGAAAGCTAGGGGCGGCCAGACCAAAACATGGCACAAGTCCATGAAGTCACTGACAAGTGGTCTGAGTCATGTTGGTAGGTGTAGACTACGTGGTTGGGGACCGCGAGATGATAGCAACCGATGGTTAGAGACGTTGAATGACATGGCTCAAAATCGTTTGCAATGGCGCAGGTGCATCCACTCTTTGTGATCTCCCGAATTCTAATCTCTCGAATTCTCCTCGTCTCTTTTTTTCTCTTTCCAAACTTATTTCACTGCATTATACTCCTTGAATAACATCTCCAAACCCTAATCTTTCCGATTACTGCTTATACTCTTAGTACCGGTACCACAACAGGATTTGAATCGACAGCTGCATCTCTCTGCTAATGTGGTATGGCAATTTGAACTAATGTACGTACGTACGAAGTTCTAGATTGTTACTAACTGACTGGCATTGTATTCCGTGCTTCCCCCCAGATGTCCAGGTCTTCATAATCCAGTCAACTACAAAAAGAAATAGAAAGGTCGAGAGTAAGCAACCTCGTCTGACACCGGTCTTCACTTGGAGTGCATCTATCATCTACCCTATATGCATGACCTTGCCGTGTAGTCCATTATATGAGTTCCGTATAATGTCGACGGTCTTCTCAGCTACTCACACCAGTGTCGAAGAATGTTCCATGAGGTTCTCCTCTCCGCACTGTCAAATGCTTTTTCATAGCGACGGAAGTCGATGTATGGTGACGAGTTCCATTCAACTGATCGTTCAACGATGATCCGTATTGTCGCGATTTGGTCTGTGCACAACCGACCTTTACAGAACCCGTTCTGTTGAGACCTATGTCCTGAGCGATCTGTCAACTACATCCAATTGCTTAATATCGAAAAATAATGCACGGAGTGTCAAGTCACTGATACTAGTAACTAGATTATACCTTGATCAATTTAATTCGTTTCACACTAAATTATAGACAAACGTGACATTGACCTCTAGTCAGTGATCAGTTAGTGTTTATATTTGAAGGTAGAAGACATGAGCTATTTATATTTCTAATAATTCCGCATAATTTATTATAGAGGCGTGGCTCACTGGTTTAAAAGTCCGACTTTTAGCTTACATTCCCCAGTCTGCATACATCAATGTGTAAGTTATAGGATGATTCAGTTAATTTCGATTATCTCTAGTTGATTTATCATTACTGTTTTTTGTGGAAGCCTGTAATTCCTGTGTTCTGTATATTATACATAAACTTTAGTTGTTACATTATTGGATTGTTTGCATCAATTAAAATGTGAAAATGATATTCTTGAAGCTAAATTAATTCGTCTTACAACAAGACATGAGCATTTGAAATCTGTGAATGCTCGTTTGTCTGATTCACTTGCTACAATGGAATCAACAATGGTAATGAACTCTCCAAAACATGAAATTTCCGAACAAAATTCTACTGGAGTCAATAATCTTACAAAAAAGTCAAATCACCATTTCGCTCATCCTTTGGATACTAATACTGCCATTACTTCTAATATAACGACCACTACACAGAGTTCACATATATCTACAATCTTACATTCTATTGATCAGGAATCTCATCAACTTCAGTTATCCGACAATGTCACTAAAAGTTAGTTATTTGATATTTGTTAGCAGTATGTATATTGTTGAATTCATAATTTCTGTTAGTTTGAGATAATCTTATTTTTTCGTTCATTTTGTTTGAATCGAAAATGGTAGTGATAAATAGTTCATTTAATAATAACATGGTTTAATCAAGTTTATTATTATTATTAATGGCTTTATTCAATATTATATTTTTGGTAGAATATAGAATTCTCAGCACAAAGTATTTCAACAAGTTTTTTTGTACAAAAAAGTGAAGGAAACTTGATAACTGTATCCATATATATAAAAGTTAATCAGATAAATTAAGTAGATAGACTACCTAGAATTAAATGAAATGTTTTTTTTCAAAAGGTGATTTGGGTCTATGCAACTTTTGTTTAGAAACATGCTTAAGAATACGAGTTGTTGACTAGGTCAGACCTAATAATCTGTTTGTCACATATGATATTTACTAAATAAGTCATTGTAGAGCCTTTATATCTTAGATTGTATGCGTGGATTCTAAAATATTGACATCTCGTTTTGCCAGAAAATATACAAGGAGAAAGATATATATGAAATAGATGATTGGTATCTAATAAGATATTACCTGCCGGGAGTTTGCAAGATTTTGGATGTTTATCTACAACCGTATTAATAATAATATCAACAAGCTCACCACACACCCTGACAACTGCCTCCAGCACTCCCCGCAACACAACAAAGTCTTTTCTCAAAAGCTGGGGAAAGAGTAATAGAGAACAGTAAAGAATAATATGATTTCTGGTTAAATTGTGTTTAGTTAACTGAGTATGCAATCGCATAACTCTTTTGCTACTGCTCTAAACAATACCAACGACCGTTTCACATAAGGGTAAGCTATTTAATCGTTCTACAAAAGCTAAATCAGTTCATTCTGACGAACTGTTGTTTTTGAATTGTTCTTTATCTTCATTCGTTTGGCCATTCGTGTTGACTGACTTGTTCGGTCACCCTAAACACGTGATTGGTTGACTTTTTACGTCCAGGATGATAGACGGGATCTATATCGATATCTTTTGATCATCTATTGGTCGGAATGCAATGTTTTCAGTTATTCTCTTTAATTCTTTAAATTTTATCTACTCGAAAGTTTAACATTTTCTTAATCAAATATATATTTGTACATTAATGTTTGTGATAATATGTCATGTCGTGTTTCACTGTTAGTGTATTTGTGTATGCGCGAACAAAAGAGGTCCTCATCCTATCCAATATATTGCCTGTCTCAGGTGATGCAACTTATTTTATGAACAATATTGTATTTATATTCTTTCGCTGTTATACCTCTCAGTCTGCGTACGATGAAATAAAATGCCTGTGTCTATTAGCGAGTAACGTTAATTTCAACAGGCTTTAAGAAGTTTCAGGTGATTTATGGATTTGTTTTTATACGCGGCAGAGTAATTTTACTTTCGCAGATAATCTTATGGAAGTACCTCAACTTGTTAAACACTTTTTGATGGAGTTTTCTGTGTAACCATTTTTACAGAAAACAGAGAAAATATGCTTCGTTTTTTCGTGTACTCAGAGTACCGGGAGAAGTCTTGATTCTTCTGAATAACGTCCTGACACAACTCATCTTGGAAATTTAGTTTTTTTATACTGTAATTGTAGTATGTGATCTATTTAACTTGATTTCCTGCATACCTGTATTTACGATACTGGTTAACTGTTGATTCTTCTATTGTGAAATGTTGTCAATCAGTCATCGAATATCTTTAAGTCTGTTTCTCTTGAAGATAACAACCGTGCCATTTACTTAACATTAAAATGTTTGTTTGATTTTTGGTAAGACTATAGCTTTTGGTCTTTACATAACTGCTTTTTATAATTAAAACTAATAGAAATATTGCCAAATACTTTCCCACTGAACTTTCCGGACTTTATTTATTGATTGTTATGGCTTTTTATTGGAGAATTTTAGAAAATTGTTATTGAATTTACTCAAAGTTAGTGAATACAGAAATATTTTTAGTTTGACGGTTTTGGGTTGGCTTTTGTATATATTTTCATCACAATCGAAAAATTGTGGTAAACTAGGACTGATTTTTACATAATTGTTTGCCATTCTGGTAATATTAGATATCATGTATTTTATCTGGTATCATTATTTTGATTGTTGTGTTGGTAATCAGTATTTTACGTGTTTGTACATTGCTTTAACATGTAATTATATTTTGTATTTATTCTGACTGTAATCTATTTTTACTCAAGATTCTTCAAATCAATCTGTCACATTGGTCAACAATTACAATGATCCATCTTTTGCAAAATATTCAACTAATGGAAATAGAAAAGTTCCAATTCTACCGAAAGACTATACTACAACTTGTTCCAATTTGAATTTAAAACATGATTCAACAAATATTATGGATAATCTAGGATCATTAGATAAAATTCATTCAACCAATTGTTTAAATCAAACTCAACCAGTATTTTGTACATCATTAGATTCGAAGTCTTCACATGAATCACATTTAAGCTATTCAAATTTAATAAAACATCAACCGAATACATTTCTAAATGATTCTTTCACTCCACATAATAATAATCATAATCAAACTAGATCAACCTTTGACTATCTATCTAGTTCATGTTCTTCTTCTACGTTACCGTCAACAAATCCTACATATTTTACTAAAAGTGTTGATCATAATGATTTGGTGAGTATCTAATGATTGAGTAATAAGTAAATTTTAATCGCTTCATATTATCATTGACATTCTTTGTCCACTGCTCACTGCTAAATAGTTCCATACTAGGACGAAATGTCCATTTAGTGCTTCCAGACTTTCAATGGTGGTCTAACATTGATTGATTCATGATTTCAATTAATAATAGTAATAATAATAATGATAGTCCTTTGCCATCCAAAAAAGTGTATTTACTCATTATTGAACTATAATTACTGACAGTATATGCAAACATGTGATTCACTGACAGAAAGTTGAATGATTTTTATCCATTAGGTTTCTGTATAAATCAATTAATTATAGATTAGTTGAATTCTTTTACTATAGAAAATGTTTTCCAGATTGTAGAAATTTTCAGCAATTTTCCTTGTTTTACAATATTATCTTTTAGTAATATTTTAATATATCATGATAATATAGATCGTATTAGTCATTTTTGTTATTACCGGTATTCATAAGTGGAAAATTATTGGTTACATACATTATGACTTTTATTTGTTTAAAACAATTAGTTCATTTGATAAATTTAGTTAATCTAATGAGATAATAAAGTTTTATCAGTACTAAGCCCCTGACCCATATGAAAATTCAGACTCCTGTTGTTGTTTTTTTTCCAAAAACAATCTTTAATTACACTAAGTCGGTTGCGGCCGGGATAGCTCAGTGGTAACGTCTCTGGTTGTGAAGCTGGGTGACACGGGATCGAATCTGTCAGGGAGCACCTGTTCCCTCAAGACTACAGGTAAACTTTGCTGACGAGTGCCAAGTAGCACTAAACCCGGGTTCAGGGTTTCCTGTCGATTACTTCCAACCACCATCTAATCTCAATATGGTGCACACAGTGTCGAGTCAACTAGACTGGTGGCCACATTGCAACTTGGTCGATAGCATTCGATCTGCACTAATAAGGACTTGACACACATGACATTGATCATCACCCAGTGATCAATCAATTGTGAAAATTCAGACTCCTGTTGTTGTTTCTTTTTTTTCAAAAACAATTTGTAATTACACTAAATCTACTATAGTAATATTAATTGATTACCAGTTTAGTGTGATGTATGCTGTTTTTCCTTATCATCTTTATTTTGTTCATACCTTCTAGTATTTTTCAGGTGTATAAAAATGTCTAAACCAGTAGATGTGTGGTCAGTTTATCCCCTCATTGAGTTTTATAATCATTTGTTGTCAAATAAATTAACTCAGTGATACTATATTGCTTAAATATTCATCATATAAATCTTACCTGTAATATATATTCTCATACTTAGTTAATCGGCTGGTAATCTTATATCTCCTATAAAGCTACTCCATTGTGATTTAGTAAAGGTTTACTTAAATAAACTTATAAATCCAGTCATCATCTCACTTGACTTTGTTTAGAACTGATCACAATTACTGTTTTTTTTTTACATTCCTATCTTTTTGTTTACATTCTTTAGTCATCTATTGAATTTCTGCCAGTCTTTGTCGTATTACTATTGATTTTAAGAAACGTTCATGTTTGTTCTTGATCCTTTTCTTTGTTGTTTCAATTTAGGTCAATCAATCTGTTTTTAATGTGAATTGGGTTTTAATCAGTTTATGAAATAAACTAATTAAAACTATTAATACATAAATCTTCTAATGTAACCAGAAATACGATTAATCGATTCGTGTAAATTATTGGTTGTGTTTAGTTTGACGTGCCCTGGTACGACCGAGGGTGGGGAGAGTAAGCTCTCCCTCTCGAAATGCTCTCATATGACCACGCATATACACCCACTCACAGGGAAGTTCTACTCACTGTCTTCTTGTGGCGAGGGTGTTGTTTACGAAATGGAGGACAAAAAGCGAATTTCCGTCGCTTTAACCGGGTTGGTGGACACGGAGGATCCACCTAGGAGAGTTGGAAAATCCTGATTCTAAACCAATGGTGCACATGGGCTCCAGTATCCTGAAGGAACGAAGGCATATGAACCAATTGTTGGTCACCAGCTAACGTAGGACTACATCTCCTTACGTTGCTCCACTGCCTTGTGGATCAGACCTTTATGTCGAAGGCTCTCGGTGTAGCTCCCTAAGAAAACCACCTTCTTCGGTTTGGGTACCCGGGTAGTATTATAACCCACACACAAATCAAGTGACTTGTGTGGCTCATATGTATCTGGTGACCCTTTGTACCAATATTTATGTATTCAAATAAATAAATAAGGCTATTTAAAAATTAATAATCTTAGTTTATTTTGTAAAATCAGTGTTAAACTGTAACCTATAATTTGAAATATATATCACAGTTTAATTAGTTCGTTTATCATTTTAAAACAATCGATCTCATAATAATTATTTTAGTTAAGAATTCATGCATAGTTATACTTTATTTTTAGTCTGAGCCATGTTGGTAGATGCAGACTACTTGGTTGGGGTCCGCGTGACTATCGTAACCAATGGTTGGAGACTCTTGGTGACATGGCTCAGAATCGATCACAATGGCGTAGGTGTATACACTCGGTTTCTTCCCTTAAACTAAGAGATTAAAAGCGCTTCATATCTTTCTTTCTACTAACCAATTCTTTCTTCTTGTACTATATCTCTATATGCAATCTTTCTCTTATATATTACCACCTTTTACCTAACCACTGTTATGAATCCGGTGTTCATCTTGTTGTGCTGATGCGGTATGGCAACCTGGACCCATGCACATAAGTGCATGGTTCTACGTTGTAGCTGACTGACTGACTGACTATACTTTATTTATTTACATGTTTGTAGTCATAAATACTGTTGTAGTGAACAAGAACACAGGTGGGGACAATCGAATGTATTTAGCACAACAATTACAGTCTATCTCAACAAAATCTGAATACCATAAAGTCAATCGTCAATTTGCAAATTATCAATACATCATATCAAACTGTACTGTTCAAGCTGCAAACACTAATCCATTGTCTCCCATTCCATTGTTCATAGGTTTTCTTACAAATTCCATTATGTTCTTGCTTCACCTTTCTTGGTCTTCGCCATCTTTTGCTGCCGAGCATTACGTTCTTTTAACGCACGTTATATACTACTTATGTCAATATAAGTAGCTCACACCACACTGTGAATTGGGTTTATGGCGAAGTAACCACCTCCATTGCCCGAGGCCTTTATATATTTCACCATTGAGTTAACTGCTTCTATAAATCCTATGTTCGTTTTGCTGTGCTAATGAGGTGTGGCAACTTGGACCGATACATGTATGTGCCTGGTCCTACATTGTAGCTGACTGAGTCATAAATACTTTTAACCTGTTTTTTTTACATTAGACTACTGTCAAATTACTTCATTAATTTGTATTTCTCTCAGATGAAGTATGTTAGGCATTTACGTTTAATTAAATACTAAAGAAAGTTTTTATATGTATAGATATGTGCCTGATTTTGTTGTTAATCATATCTTTAGTTATAGATTATTTATGCCTTAAGTTGTTTTACTGCCTTCAAAGTAAACTTTCATACACTTCTCATTATCACATTTACTATCAATTGCTTATCAACCTTACATATGATGTAATACTACTGAGTATATCACTAATGTTTAACAACCACACTTTAAATTCTCCATTATTACTAAGGCTTATTTTGTTTATAATCACGAACTATAACATATCATTGAGATATTGTGCTTTCCTACCAATTTTTTCGTCTTATTTCTATTTTCGTTCTATAGCAGGAACTAAGCGCTCGTTTAAGTTCAGCAATAGCCGCTCGACAACCTCAGTCATCAAAAAGTACTAGTTCAGTTATGCCTTCATGTCCTACGTTGCCTAAGAATTCTGGTCAAAGCAAAAGAAACAGCAAAGTTGTTACATCTGCTCAACCATCATCTTCGAGTAAATTACCGATACCTCCGTTAAATTCTGGTTCACTGGTCAATTGCATTTCGAAATTAGACACATTAACTAGCTGTCATAATTTCTGTCCTACGAATTCGAATAACGTGCAACCTACAACATCATCCAATAATTCAACTAAATCTTCATATTCCAGTGATCAAGCTTCTATACAAGCACAAAGTAACCCTTTATGTAGGTTGATACACTTTCAGATTGTAGTGTTTGACGTAATTGTACTATGTAATTCACCTAAATACATCGAAATCGCTTCTTATGTTGTTTAAAAATGTTTCAGATTCTGACGTTCAATTGTGGTTGACTTCATTCATGAATACATATTTATATCCCTTGGTTAGTTCTTTTTACAGCAAATGTAAGGCACTAATAATTCTATTCATATTATATTAGATACGAAGGAATCCTTAACTTGAGTCTAAGCCAGATAGTTAAACGTTTCACACTATGCTATTGTCCCGACCGTTGTTGCTACCTTGACGTGGTGGTCGGGCTTGCCTATCGTGATGAAGCAACCGAGCTATACTGGCGGGAACAACCGTTCCTCAAGGTCCTACCATGTCAGACAGGTCGGTTGAAGAGCGGTAAGACTAAAAGCAACAAACCTAAGGTCTGAAGGCGAAGTCGTACTGCTGACTGTTCAGAGGTGTGACAGCAGTAAGGTGTTTCCTTCAGACAACCAGCATGACAGCGATGCTGCCTTCCCACAAGGAGGGGTGGGGTTAGAAAAGGTCGACCCTAAAAATGCACACCTCACCTTACCCCACGGAAATCCGTGGGGTAAGGTGAGGTGTGCTCCCACTGACTGCAGCTCAGATGATGTGAAAGATGAATTTTACAGAAAGTTATCTGAACTTCTTCAGAAAGCTAAACGCTCAAACATAGTACTCGTAGGGGGTGACTTTAATGCTCAGATAGGTAGCTTAAACCACACAGAAAGGCATTTAGGTGGATATTTTAGCATTCCGGCACAGCGAACAGATAATGGTGACCGTCTGCTGCAACTGTGCTCAGACAATCGCTTATTTTTAGCAAACACAAATTTTAAGCATAAGGAAAGACATCGTCTAACATGGCGACCCCCTACACCAAACCAACGATGGACTCAAATAGACCATATTGCCATCAGTCATCGTTGGAGAGGGTCGGTAGAAGATTGTCGCTCATTCTGGAGTACCTGCTTGGACTCCGACCACGCCCTAATACGGGCACGCTTCTGCTTGCGCCTCACCGGACGCAAAAAAGCCATATTGAAAAGACCCATTAGAACTAAGTTGAGTAACGAGAAAACCAAAAATAGGTTCCAGGAACAACTGAGGTCACACTTAGGTAGTTCTGAAGGCGAGGCTGACCCAGATGTTGCTTGGAAAGACATACAAGCAGCTGTGGAAGCAGCAGTGACATCTATTAGCGACTTAAACCACAGAGTTTCAAAGAACCAGTGGATTTCTTCAAAGTCTATCACACTGATGGATTCTCACAAACTCGTCCCATCAGGTTCCGAACATGATGAAGAGCGACAACAAATCAGATCTAGGTTAAGAAAAAGTTTAAGAAACGACCGTGAGCAGTGGTGGGCAACGAAAGCAAAAGAGATGGAAAAGGCAGCGGCTATAGGGAACACAAGACAACTTTACAGACTAATAAAAGAAACTGGAATTAATAAGTCAAGTGTAAGTGAGATTATATCGGAAAAAGACGACACTCTCATCTATTCCCAGTCCAGACGTTTAGAACGATGGGCGGAACACTTTAGGGAACAGTTCAGCTGGCCTTCAGCGACTCTACAACTACCATCCATTCCCAGACAGCGTGAATGGAACATTGAAGTAGGTCCCCCAACTCTTGCTGAAGTTCAAAAGGCTATAGATAATCTGAAACGAGGAAGGGCAGCTGGTCCAGATGGACTGGTTCCAGAAGTCTTTAAGGATGGTGGTCCAATTTTAGCGGTTAGGTTGACTAATATTTTAGCTAAGATCTGGGAGTTAGACGTTATTCCATCTGACTGGTCACAATCACTTATCGTCCCAATATATAAGAAAGGATCAAAATCATCCTGTGACAACCACAGAGGGATTAGTTTAACTAATATAATATCTAAAATACTAGCCTCGATAATTATCAGACGCCTAACTAAGACTCGTGAACTGCAAACACGAGAGAATCAAGCTGGCTTCAGACCTGGTCGTGGCTGCATCGACCACATATTCACCATTCGTCAGGTTCTAGAACATAGGCATACTTATCGGCGTCCGACGATGGTGGTCTTTCTTGACTTAAAAGCAGCATTTGACTCGGTAGACCGCGAGGTTCTGTGGCAGTGTCTGTCATTGAAAGGCGTACCTCAGAAGTACATAAACCTTGTGAAGGCTCTTTACTCGAACACTACTAGTCGAGTGAGAGCTTATGGCGAACTGTCATCTACTTTTGTAACCTCAAGTGGTGTCCGTCAAGGCTGTCCACTTTCCCCATTTTTGTTTAACTTCATCATAGATCTACTGATGGAAATAACTTTCTCGTCGACTGAGTTCTCGGGTATTGATCTCCATCCAGGAGGTCCACTTATCGACTTAGAATACGCAGATGACATAGTCCTGTTTGGTGAAGACGCTGACAAAATGCAGAGTCTTCTGGTAGCACTGAGCAACAATGCCTGAATGTTTGGAATGCGCTTCTCTCCCTCTAAATGCAAGTTGTTGCTTCAGGACTGGTCTGCGTTAACACCTGAACTAAGGATAGGGAGTGAAGTAGTCGAACGCGTTGACAACTTCACTTATCTTGGAAGTCTGATCAGCCCTAATGGGTTGGTATCGGACGAAATCTCAGCACGGATTCGAAAAGCTCGTTTAGCTTTTGCCAACTTACGTCACCTGTGGCGAAGGCGAGATATCCGTCTATCAATAAAAGGACGAGTATACTGCGCGGCAGTCCGTTCTGTTTTAATTTATGGCAGCGAAACATGGCCATTAAGAGTAGAAGACACTCGTAAGCTATTAGTATTTGACCACAGATGCCTAAGAAATATTGCTGGCGTCTGCTGGGATAACCGGGTAAGTAATAGTGAGGTTAGACGCAGGGTATTAGGAAAGGATGGTAAATCAGTTGATGAGGTTATGAATCTTCATCGACTGAGATGGTTGGGCCACGTGTTACGTATGCCTGAACACCGATTACCACGACGTGCAATGCTATCCGGTATTGGAAATGGTTGGAAGAAAGTTAGGGGCGGCCAAACCAAAACGTGGCATCAGTGCTTGAAGTCACTAACTTCTAGTCTGAGCCATGTTGGTAGATGCAGACTACTTGGTTGGGGTCCGCGTGACTGTCGTAACCAATGGTTGGAGACTCTTGGTGACATGGCTCAGAATCGATCACAATGGCGTCGGTGTATACACTCCCTGTCTTCCCTTAAACTAAGAGATTAAAATCGATTCATATCTTTCTTTCTACGAACCAATTCTTTCTTCTTGTACTATATCTCTATATGCAATCTTTCTCTTATATATTACCACCTTTTACCTAACCACTGTTATGAATCCGGTGTTCATCTTGTTGTGCTGATGAGGTATGGCAACCTGGACCGATGCACATATGTGCCTGGTCCTACGTTGTAACTGACTGACTGACTGACTATGCTATTGTGATCATGTGTTGAATCTTACAAAATCATACTGTGCCGGTGAAATGTAAGTAATCGTGTTGGTCATTTTACAAGAATAATTGATCACCTTTGAGAAATAATATATGGACGATAATCAAACAGAGAAAGTCCTTTAACATCTATAACTCCGAGGGCAGGTTTCACAAACATAGAGCAAAACTGGTCTCACCGACGTACTTTTATTAAGAAGGGGTCGTAGATGGGTCAGAGCGCCATAAGACACTCTAAGTTTCACTATATGTGAATTGATATCATCATTCACGCCACCATCAGTACTTATACAGCTACTCAGACACGACTATTTTTAACTACTGACTACCAAGAGTGAATACAGATTCCGGGGTTCTGCCAGTCTGGTAAAAGTATTTTTCACTTAGAAGGTCCAAGGTACATGCCCCGTACCTACGTACACTACCAACTGACTAAGCGCGAATCCCATGGTTTGGGTACATCACACAGTAAGAGAATATCGTCCGCATACAGTAGGTCGAAAAGTCTTTCTCGAAGTAAAATGTACACCACCATTATACCTACATCCATTAGGACTGTTTCCCGAAAATCATCAATGGCAAAGTTGGAGACAAATGGTAAGATTGGACAATCTTGTGTAATCACACTGTTTGAAACAATGGGGTGCGGTGGTTTTACGCCCTCAATCTTCCTTAGTTGTTGTATGTAGGATCTTCACGATGTTGATACACTCCTCAGATACACGCTTGTCCAACAGATAATCCCAGAGAACAGTCCTGTCCAGCGAATAGAAGGCAGACCCAATGTCAAGAAACACGTATCAGTAAGATAACTCGATCAATTGTTAATTTCTTATCAGTAATGTTAATAAACTATAAAAATTCTACAAGGATTTCATTGTTCGTAATTCCTACAACGTATCTAACGGAGGAGTATACAAATTATTGGTTACACTACGATCTGTAGAAAAGTATTTTATCGTTTTTCTCATTGGGCGTTTCACAGTGGCTAATCAGATGATCTTATTATCATGTACTTATTCATCTTTGATTTCGTTTTGACAAAAAGTTGTACTTCATTTTGAAGTCAAGTTCCTCGTAATTGTTTTTAAGGGATTTTATGTTTGTATTTATTTATATAAGACTGAGAAAATTCAGCCTAGAATATATAAAAATAAGGAAATGAATATATGTTAATTCCTTTTAAGTATATAGTTGTATTGTTTTCATTTTAAAATCTCATGTCTGTTGTAATCTACTCAATCACTCAGATTAAGACATTCACTCTTAGCGTAGTATTCGGATTCTAACGCCGTTTTAAGTTTTGATTGTTATTTTTTCTTAGGACAATCAATTGTCATTAAAATGACGTGTAATCAACTTTTAAGTTTCCTCAATGTCATATCCATAATTCATATAACACTGTGATGTGAATCCAAACAAAATTTCATTTACCACCATACTGTAGACAGATAACATTTTCGACTTTAGAAAACAATCAATCTATTGGAATCATCTTATGTACATTAAATGTTTACCATCGTTTCTTTGTCATAACATAAATTACTTATACTTGTATAATGTTTTTTTGCCACTACGTTTTTGAAGTTTGATTTAAGATCATTTTATTGTTGACTGAAATAGTCAACAGGATATAGGAATTGATGTTATAGTCGTAATTTATTTATTATAATTTATGACTTATAATTATATTTCATTGTCTTCATTCTCTCCTATTAGCTTTTATGATATTTACATCACCAACAATTTCGGAAATACATAATCATAATAATATTCAATCTTCAACAAATCAACCAATTGTTACATCTAATGAAATTCTCTATAATGAATTAAATACTATTGAGTCATCAATAATCGTAGCAACTAATTCAAATTCAGTTAGTTTATCAAATGATTGTAAAACAACTTTAACTCATTGAATAATAATTCAGTACGGACAATGTTTATATATATATATATATATATATATATATATATATATATATATATATATATATATATATATATATATATATTGTTTTATGCTTATTTATATAGTTGATGTTCAATTTTCAAGTTTGCTTTTTTCTTATTCTTCTTCTTCGTTTTCTAAATGGAAATATGTTGTTCGTTTATTTATTTAAATTTTACTAGAGTCATGTACACTTTTTAAAAATTTAAAATCTGTACTATTCTCAAATAACTAAAAGCATATATATATATATATATCATAATAGGAATTTTCTAACTGTTTAGTATCGTTTTCTCTCTTGTATTATTACTATTTCAAACTAATTCTATATAATTGGAAATTTATTATTAGGATATATTTATTTAAGGAAATTATTTATTGTCTTTTTTTAGAAAAAAGGAAATGTTTGTTTTTGTTTTTTATTTAAATACGTATCCAATATATGTGACTCAATATATGTATTCTCCACACACACACACCCCAAATATGGCAGCCATTCTAAGCAGAGCAAAAACAAGAAACAGTTTCTGCTAAAGAAAAGAAAATGAACGATGTTTTTCCTCCCTTTTTTTTGTTTTGTTTTTGATATTCCCAATTATGATTATATTACATTAACACGTTTGTTGTTTTTTTTGGATGAATAATTTACAATTAGGTTTCGTAGTTGTTTCATATTATTAATTAGTAGTGTTATATTCATTTTAAATAATGTTTCTTGTATAATGAATAGGATTTTTCAAATCATCATTCATATTATTATTGGTCATGTTATCATGTTGTAATATTCGAATTGAAATGCTCTTTTGAAACGTTGGACACCTTTTTTTTTAACAAAAAAATAGAAATTTACCATTTAGCAATTTAATTTATTTATTTATAAAATATAAAAATTATTTATCTTCTATTTTGTAGTTTACTTTCATGAGGGAATTTGGTTAGTTTTATGCGATAAGAATTATATTTATTTATGGTTTATTGTTTAGAATATAGCTGATTTATTTACAGTTTATCCTGTGATTACCTCTAATTTATAGAGGAGCACATTGTAAAAAGTGGTTCTTCTATTTAAACTTAATGAAGAAAACGTGGTAGGTTGGATTCTAGCTAACTGTAGACTCTAGATATGAACATTTCCGTATTATGACTGACAGTATTCTACCCGCATTTTATTTTGGACCGTACCTAATCTGAAGTAACACACCAATCAGTCAGCTACAACGTAGAAACAGACGTATATATGCATCGGTCCAAGTTGCCATACCTCATTAGCACAACAAGATTAACACCGAATTCATAGGAGTAATTAATTCAGTGGTGGTAATATATAAAAGAAAGATTGCATATAAGGCTATGGTACAGGAAGAAAGGATTATTTCGTAGAAAGAAATGTATAAAGTATTTTTAATCTCATGATTTAAGGGAAGACAGAGTGTATACACCTACGCCATTGTGATCGATTCTGATCCATGTCACCTAGGGTCTCCAACCATTGGTTACGATAGTCACGCGGACCTCAACCAAATAGCCTGCATCTACTAACATCAAGTTCAAACAATTTTATGATAAGGTACACGTAAAACGGTACTTGAAGCTTTAGTCTACGACTGAATATGTTTGACTGTAATAAACACTTTATGCTAATCAACAAGGGTATAATGTATTACCTTCAATAATTGGGAGATTAGTTAGATGATTCTCATGTCCTTCATTAAGAATTTCAACTGAACAGTTCCCTGTAATTATTATAACTTAACTCATTATGATTTTCGATTTCTTATAGTCAGGAACCTTAATCAAGGGGGTTACTCATTTTTTATACTTCAGTAAATATTCATATTGGCTGATAGGCACCTTCAACTTACTCTGACTTTAATGTATATTGATCTGTCCACTCTGAGTATTCGAATTTTTTAATCATTCATTTATCATCACCATTGTGGCAAGTCATCTTCACTTTCAATCTGCATACAAAAAAGCAAAACAGGTGGGTTTTGTGCGGTAGTTATGCTGCACTTATCTATTTCGTTTAGGTTATAGAAAGTGGTGTAATGACTAGCATACGTCATAGTCAGATCATTTGGTAGTTGTTTAGCCTAACGAACCCTAAACTTACAACCAGGTAACCTTCCGTGTTAATCACTTATAACATGGAAAGAAAGTTCATTGTTAGGATGCCGCAGATTTCGAGAATCAGAATGCGGTCACTATCGCGATGTTCAAGTTATGCTGCACATCCTTAGAATGATGCTAAACAAAATAACGAGGTAAAAAAAACTAATTTAAGTTAAAGATTCTAAACTAAATTAAGTACACAGTTTATGCTGTCGCAAGTTTCTCAATATGTTTGAAAATATCCTCGATCTTTTCGATTATTCGTGAGGGATAGTTTGTTAGTTCAAATTACTAGTACCATTTCGAGTAAACATTATATCAGGCTTAATCTAAAACACGATAGTTAAGGTGCATGCTGTTCTGAAATATTTTCCTTCAGTTATTATAAATTTTCACCCGATATGTCTCGAGTTATATGTGATTTTTAAAATCTACCCTCATGAGATTCAAAAGAAACGTTTTGTGCGTGAATACATCTCTAATATCTAGTATAGCTACATAAAGCCAGTTGAAGCACGTCATGTCTTGAAAGGAGATGGCCGCATGTCCCATCGAGTTTCTTCTAATAGGAAGTACTAAATTCCATCATTTCTTGGGTCTAGTAACGAAAATTCAACTACTGAAAGAATTATTGACAATATTCTTGATTAATCATGACAAACAAGGACCGATGTGTAATTGGCAGAACCTGAAGTCCCATTTGTTAACGCCCATAACATGACTTCTACATCCCTAATTTAAGAACGGTATCACTTTCTTAATGTATCTCTAGTGTGCGGCGTCTAAATGATAGCCAAAACAAAAACAAACTTGGCTGATCCGTAAACATTAAATTCCCAACCTGTATAGTGAACGTCGTACATCACCAACGTTTATGGTCTGTGTTATATATTTGTGAGCCTATTAGAGTTAGACGGGAATGGTGTGATAAGCCATTCAACGACGAAGCCACACTACACGATTAGTTCATAACGTGGATTACTCTTTTGTCGTATCTAGGTTCTAGGGCAGCTATGATGACCGTGCAACTCAAACAACTATATCACAGAAATATAGTAGTAGGTGTAGGTACAAGGGACAGGGTGCGACCACTGTCATATGGGACAGTCCATGACGTGCAATTAACTGTTGCGCGTTTGTTGTCCTTGGCGAGGATCGGCGAACTGTTCGATATTTAGTAACCCGACTGCTGGCTGATTTGGCTAGAGCCCAGTGACATTTCACCGGCTCTGGAGAGTGAATCAAAAGATTTGATCTTTATGGGTAACCTTACTAGTCATTCCCTACACTTCTATTGGAATGAGTAAAGTGAATGATAATGTAACGTGAGGACTGCAGATTAGAGTGGAGCGTATTTATCGATCGGATCAATGACACGTAAAACACGCACGAACGACCTAGAGTCCCGATTGGCCCTGCTTCCCTGTCTAGCCCAGCCAGTTGAGTCCAGAACACAAATCTCAGTCCCTGAGATATGAATCATTATATTTCAGACATGCTCTGTTTATATACCAACCAAACAGACCACATCGTACCATAAAATAGAAAACAACATTTGTACAATATTTACCAAGTTAAATAAATATTGACCAATAGGGAGTATACATTTAAAGTCCAAGGACACCATTAGACTTAACATGATAATTATTGGTATATTTTTCCGAATATCCTAACACCTCCCTTTTTTTGAAGATCCGGAGTTGATATCCGGATTTTAAAATGTTTCCTCGTCCATATGGACGAGGATAGGATATCCTAACCCGCGAAGTAGTGCTGGGTCCTCATATCCCCAAGTTACAACTAATTCGACTTTATTTAAAACATGTTTCTCGCATTGAATGTAGAATCCACTAGAAGTGACTATATGGTGATGAACGATTTTTGATTTGAGGTCAGAGTTTGGTTCCTCTGGAGCATCACTTTCTAATTTATTAAGAATCTCATCAGCGAATAATGGGTGATCAGGAAAATCAACATCAAACAAAATTAAATTAGATCTTTGACCATCATTTGACTCAGCCGATATATTTTCCACATTTTTGTAAGAAATTTCACCGAGATTATGTGCATTATTATCAGAACCCATATCTGGTACATTGTCATTAGAAACTGGATAAGTTGATTCAATATAAATTTCTGTTTCTTTGTGGACGGGTACTGCAATACATTTATGAGCATTTAATATGACGTTGTCTTCCTGTGATCTGGACAATCCAGTGTCTGTACATAGTGTCTCGGATGCAATGGGATTTGAGCCCACGACAGGGCATGTCTCTGAAACGGACATTTCTGGACCACTGGACAAATCATGAACGACTGCTTCGTTTGCATTACTGCTCATCAGGGATTAATAGAGGCTTTTTGGCACATCTATATATTCTGCAGTCATTTTCCAGTTCAGTATGCAAATGAGAAATTACTTTCCTTACGCCTGTTACTGCTAATGGAGCATAGGCCGCCGACCAGCATTCTCAAACCCACTCTGTCCTGGGCCTCCTTTTCTAATTCCATCCAATTCTTGTTCATCTTTATCTTGTCTATTTCCATTTCCAGGCGTAATGTGTTCTTTGGTCTTCCTCTCCTCCTTTGGCCTTGAGGATTCCATGTGGGGGCTTGTCTTGTGACGCAGTTGGGTGCTTTCCTCAATGTGTGTCCTATCCACTTCCAGCGCTTCTTCCTGATTTCTTAAACGTTGGGTTTGTTCTCTCCCACAGTACGTTGTTGCTAATAGTGTCTGACCAACGGATCTGAAGTATTTTGCGTAGACAACTGTTAATAATCACCTGTATCTTCTGCATGATGGCTTTCGTAGTTCTCCAGGTTTCTGCCCCATACATTAGAACTCTCTTGACATTTGTGTTGAAAATCCTAACCT